CCATGGAAAGCAGAGTAAATAGCTTTGGTTTTCTTTTTAAAGTACACCAAAGAAGCATTAGTGGTTGGAGCCAGGCTCAGACAGACTCAGGCTTTTAGTGTTTGCTTTTGGTTGTTGAAGTTGGGGGTTTTGGAGTTGAAGCTGCTAGATACAGCTCTCTCTCTGCTGCTGCTGTAAAAAGCTTGAGGTCTCTTACTGCTGCTAGATTCATTCTGTTGGTTCATTCTCCTGGACTGGAGAAGATAGCAAGTGAGAGACTCTGTTTTGCTGAATTTGCCTTTGCCAAGCGTGTGTTTATGGGATGCTACTGTATTGGAACAGTTAATAAGTAGCAGTTAAACAATACATATTTTATAAAGCATTCTAATAGAGTTAAAGTCATGCTAATTCCTCTTTATTTTGTTTGTATTTTAACTGTAGTGTAAGATTGAAGTGTGTTTTACTTAAAGCCTAGTAGTTTGATCAATCAAGTCACATCTGGAATGCAGCACCTTACACTTACCTCTAAATAAGATAAAAAGTTAGGATTTGAGCTATTTCCTTGCTATCTTTTGAGAGGGTTTGCTCTGGTCTGTAACAAAACACAGTGTGGAGCTGGAGAAACACAGCAGGCCAGGGAGACTTTCCTGCTCCTCTGATGCTGCCTGACCTGCTGTGTTCCTTCAGCTCCACACTGTATTGACTCTGACTCCAGCATCTGCAGTTCTTGGTATCTTCGACAGACACAGTGCACTATCTACACGGTCTCACATTCAGACACTGTGCTATCTGCAGCCTTATATAGACACATATATGCTGCCCTACCTATACCCTTCTGTATCTCTAACTTCTTCCAGGCCCTACCACCGTAGCAATCTGTATTTCTCTCTCCCTCTCTACCCCTCTCTAGTTATTTAACCTCCTGCATTGCCCACAAATCCTTTCAAGGTTATTGAGCTCCTCATGTCCTGGTCTGTGGTGTCGTTGATTTCCGTATTCCTCACTCTACCATATGCTGCTGAACCTTTGTAATTGCCTCCTTCAATCACACAAAAATACCAAGATGAGTCAACATATTATTGTGAATGAAGGAAGACATTGGCTATCCCATCTGCTTGTTGTCTTTGAAGAAATTAACAAGTATGGATAAAGGAGAACCAGTAGATGTAGAATATTTGGATTTCCAAAAAGCATTTCAGAGGCTGCCATGTCAAAACTACAAGACAAAGTAAGAGCTAACGGTGTCAGGGGGGAAATCATAAATTGGACAGAGAACTTTCTCACCTCCAAGAAGCAGAGTCAGGATAAATGGATTATTGCTGTGTTGATTATCTGTTCAGTTATGAAGTGCCATAGAACTTAGTGCTGGGGCAATAAGGATTTGCAGCCAGTGAATTTACTGAAGGGATTAAAGTTACTGGAGTTAAATTCCCTGACACAAAGATCCGTCAGAAATTAAGTTGCATTGAGGACACAAGGAGACTGTAAAGGGGTAATGTGGGAATCTGTGAGCTCGCCCACTTTGGTAGGAAGGATTGAGCAGCATTTAATTTAAAGGAGAGAGATCACAGTAATGTGGTCCAGAGGGATCTTGTGCACAAATCCCAAAAAGTTGGCGTGTCATTTTTCCTCGCACCAAAACGATTCCGACTCAGTAGCACAGAACCGGGTCCTTCAGCCTATTGCATCCATGCTGCTCAAAATCCAGCACCAAGATAATCAAATCCCATTTTCCAGCACTTGGAGGAAAAGGAAAGAAGAGCCAGGGCAGAAGAGGAAAAAAGGGAAGTGAAACAGTTTGATTTATGGTTACAAGCAAAGGAAAGACAAAAAGAAAAATAAAGGGAAGAAAGGGAAAAGGAAAGTAGATGATTTGGATTTTGATGTGCCTCCGAATAAATGAAATAATGAGGAAGTCCTAAAAGAATGTGATAAGAAAGTAAGTTATCTGTCTGAGCAATAGAGAACTGATTTGAAAGGCTTGTTGCAGCAATATGAGGACATATGTAGAAATAGAATAGGGAGGACTAATACTATAGTACATGAGGTTGACGTCGGGAGTGCTGTTCCAATAAAACAACACTCCTACAGGCTTAATCCTCTCAACGCTGCATAGGTACAGAAGGAAGTGGAAGCAATTCTCCAAGAAGACATCATCAAGCGGAGTCAAAGCGAATGGAGTTCGCCGATGGTGTTGCTTCCCAAATGTGATGGTACTCAATGATTCTGCATGAATTATCAGAAGTTCAACGGCATAACTAAATCAGACTCATACCAAATTCCAAGGCTGGAAGACTGTGTGGAAAAAGTTGGACAAGCCACTTACATCACAAGGTTGGACTTACTTCATGTTTATTGGCAAGGACTTTTATCTGAGAGAGCGAAAGAAGTTTCTGCATTTGTAACCCCAAAAGGGCTGTATCAATTTAAAGTAATGTCCTTTGGAATGGAGAACGCACCAGCCACATTTCAAAGGGGCAAGGCTAATTTTGATGGAATTAGACACAAGCTTGCAAGTGGTGATTGGGGTAATGTGTTTGCGGGCAAAGGGACCTCCAGCAAGTGGGAGGCCTTTAAAAGTGTGATAGATAGAGTTCAAGGTCTATATGTTCCTGTGAAGGTGAAGAGCAAGGTTAGCAGGAGTAGGGAACCCTGGATAACAAGAGATATTGAGGTTTTGACCAGAAAGGAGGAGACATGGCTCAGGTACAGGCAGCTGGAATCAAGGGAATCCCTGGAGGCATACAGGGGATAGAGGAATTTACTGAAGGAAATCAGGAGGGTGAAAAGGGGGCACAAGATAGCTTTGGCTGGGAAGATTTGGGTGAATCCAAAGATATTCTTTAAGTATATTAAAAGAGAGAGAAAGAATAACTAGAGAGAGAATAGGACCCCTCAAGGACTGAAGTGGACTTGTATGTGTGGAACCACAGGATATGGGTGAGGTCCTCAATAAATATTTCTCCTCTGTGCTTACCGTGGAGAAAGACATGAAGACTTGGGAACTTGAGGAAGTTAGTGGCGATATCTTAGGGACAGTCCATATCACAGTGGAGGCAGTCGTGGAAGTATTAAAATGAATAAAGGTGGATAAATTTCCTGGTCCTGACCAGATACATCCAAGAACCTTGCAAGAGGCTAGAGAAGCAAGTGCAGGGCCCTGGCTAATATATTTGCATCATTGTTAGCCACGGGTGAAGTCCCTGAAGACTGGAGGGTAGTGAATGTTGTGTCCTTATTCAAGAAGGGCTACAAAGAAAAAAACCTGGGAATGACAGACCAGTAAACTTAACATCTGTGGTAGGTAAGTTACTTGAGAACATTCTGAGTGGTAAAATATACATGCATTTAGAAAGACAGGATTTGATTAGGAGTAGTCAGCGTGGCTTTGTGCATGAGAGATTATGCCTCACAGATTTGTTAGCATTCTTTGATGAAGTGACCAGGAAGGTTGGTGAGGGCAGGGTGGTAGATGTAGTCTATATGGATTTCAGTAAGGTCTTTGATAAGGTTCCACCTGGTAGGCTGCTCTGGAAGGTTAGATCACATGGAATCCAGGGAGAGCTGGCAGATTGGATACACAATTGGCTTGATGGTAGGAAGCAGAGAGAGTAAGAGTGGAAGGATGCTTGTCAGACTGGAGGCGTATGTCTCGTGGTGTGCCTCAGGGGTCAGTGCTGGGCCCATTGCTGTTTGTTATCTACATCAATGATTTGTATGAAAATGTACAAGGTGTAATTAGTAAGTTTGTAAAATAGGAGGTACCATGGACAGTGAGGAAGGTTATCAGAGATTGCAGCAGGATCTTGATCAGCTGGGGAAGTAGGCCGAGAAATGGCAAATGGAGTTTAATATAGATAAGTGTGAGGTGTTGCATTTTGGAAAGCCAAATCAAGGTAGGAATTCCATGGTGAATGGTAGGGCCTTAAGGAGTGCAGTGGAACAGAGGGTCCTTGGAGTTCAGGTGCATAGTTCTTTGAAAGTTGAGTCACAGGTAGGCAGGGCAGTGAAGAAGGCTTTTGGCACACTGGCCTTCACCAGTCAGGGCGTTGAGTATAGAAGTTGGGAAGTTATGGTGCAGTTGTACAGAATGTTGGTGAGGCCGCACTTGGGAGTATTGCGTTTAATTTTGGTCACCTTGCTCTAGGAAGGGATTGGAGCTGTGTTGTTACAGGAGAATGACTATGGAATTGAAAGGTCAATCGGTTATTTTTCAAATAAACTCAATATCCACCAATCCCCTTTCACCCCATTCTGCTCTCGGTGCCAATCCCCTTCCACCTCATTCTGCTCTTGGTGCCAATCCTCTTCCACCTCATTC